TCAAGTAAAAAAACCATGAAGTGGTGGCGGAGGGGAAAGAAAGGAAAGGAAAGAAAAACAACGTTTATCTCTGCTATTGAATGACTTAGCATTAGCAGTTATCAGTCGTACCTTTTTCACTGTGTCCTTCAGCTTTTGCACATTCCTCTTGATATGCTGGTCATCACCCTTGTTTATCTCTGCTATTGAATGACTTAGCATTAGCAGTTATCAGTCATACCTTTTTCACTGTGTCCTTCAGCTTTTGCACATTCCTCTTGATATGCTGGTCATCACCCTCAAAACGCTAAAAAAAAAAAAACAATAACAGGAGTAACTATTTTAATGTTGTCCTGTGGAAGCTTCATATACCCCTGCACCCCATCTGAGGTGTGTTACAATTCACCTGGAATTAAAGCTCTTGGTAATTCTGCCCACAATGACCTAGATTTCACCACTGACCTAGATTTCCAAGCTCTTGAATTCCCTTGGACACCAAAATCCAGTCACTTCCCTTACCGGGGACCTCTCTTCATCTTTGGAAAGTCTTACTAAGGTTTAAGTTTGTGGAACAGGTGGAGTGGTTTATGCAAATTCTGTCAGGAATAACACCCTCATCAGTAGCACCTCATCAACACTGCGTGCTCAGCACAGTGATGTACATAAAATAACTCGCATGGAAAGTAAGCCCTGCTCAGTGAATGCAGTCACCTTTCCACTCTGCCCACTCCACTCCAACCTTCTTTCATAGTTTTAAATGATCAGAGGGGCTGGCCGGTCAGTTCCCTTGGTTAGAGCGTGGTGCTGATAACATCAAGGCCAGCCACCAAAAAATATATATATAAATATGTTCAGAAGTATTGAGTTCACACACTCCTGATTTTGTCATATCCCATGACGTCTTTGCCCACCCACTACTGATGTTAAACCTTCCCATTTCCTTCTTCATTTTCTCTCTTTGCCATTCCCTCCTGCCAGCGATTTATACTCGTGGAACTACTTCCACATCTAGGCGTCTTGCCTTACAGTTCCCATCACCTTTAACCTCAAGCATAACCAGAATTGGGGTTTTTTCCAGGTATAAACAAACGAGGCTCCCACACAGTTGTTTTCCAGATCCCATTCCCCTCTAGAAACTCAACACGTGACAATTAAAGCAAAAGCAAACACTCTGTGATTTCAAATGACTCCTGTTAATAGAGTTGCTGAGGCACTTCTGGCATAGGGGTGGGGAAGGAGTGGGGGGTGGCAGAAAAAGGGTTCTAAATCGAAAAAGAAGGGAAGGAAGGCAGCTAGGAGTGGGTGGGCATAGGCCAAGAGAAGAACTTACACATGCACTTAGCTTGTTGCTGAGCCTGGCCAGGAAGGGCACCACCTCCTGCATATAGGGCTGGAATCTATGAGACTGGGGGAGCAGCACTTCTTCAAGGGTAAAGTTCAGTACCTGCTTCATCACATAGCAGCGCTCACTCATCTGCAGGTGGAAGGAAAACAGCAGGGGTCAAATTAGGGGGCATCCAGAAGACACAAATCATCATCCCCACCACTCCAAGTAACCATAAATGGCACACTGTCCCGCTCATCACGATAGCTTACATTGACACCACGGAACAGCTTCTCCCCAATGAGACGGACATCTGTGTTGTTATCTGCCAAACCAGCCTGGAAGAGAAGAAAAGACTAAGTGCCTGGACATTGAGGAGATGAAGAAAAAGTCTATAAGTGGAGATGCACTACATCCCCTCTCCCCAGAGCAACCTCATAAAGACTAGAGATAGAATTCAGGAATGTGCATAGGTTTAGAATAATGCATAGTGGGGGGGGGATTAATAATCAGATGCACTACTGAGTGGCTCCTCTTTGGGTAAAACTCAGTGTATGTACCCTAAAGGCCAAAACGGAAGGAAGGAGTTCTGGTAAAAAGCAGATTCCCAAAGAGTCTCAGAAGAGACACAGGGAATGATCTACCTGTAGGGATAAATAATGGGTTCCTAAAGATCTTAGAAGTGCTCTGAAGAAGAAAGATTTTAAGACCTCTTTGGGTTCCAAACAGATATGATAAGAGAGAGAGATTGAGATGAGTACCTCCTTAGCCAGCATGAAGGTGCGGTTGGTGATATAGGGCTGCTGGAAGTTGGACTTGTCAAGTCTGCAGTAGGAACTGACGGGCACGGCTGCCCCTCCCTGCACCCACAGGGCAACAAGAAGGAGGCAACCGGTGGCCAGAGCCCCCATCAGGGAACAGCTCACAGATTTCTGCAGGGCGGCCATTGAATTCAACTCTAACTTGAGTTATGGGCAGCAGGGAAAGGAGAACCTAGTATCAAGAGACAAAAGGCAAAAACAACACGAGGGAAGAAAATTAGCCAAGAAGTATCGCAGCTAACAAACCAATTGTACCCAGTTTGCTGAAACACTTACCTGTTTCGATGATTCTGCTCGTGATGGGAAAGGTAGAAGCTGCTGCTTTTATAGCCCCCAGGACACCAATTTTTTTTTGCTGTTGTGAAAAATATGACATCAGCAATTATCTAATTTCCAGTACTGTCTTCTGAGAACTTAACCACCATAGGAGCCCACAAAACGCCACCTCCTATCCTTCCTACCTTGAGAAGGGAGTGAGTGTTTCCTTAAAACGTCACTATTAGGGTCCAGAGGGTGCTTTTACAGATAAATCCCAGAAATTTTCTAAGCCCTACATATTTTTCAAAGAAAACAATTGCTTTGTCTTTGTAGATTCCAGATTTAGTGTAATATTCTTTGATCTCCTGTAGTAACTGAGTAAGCATTTTGGTCGCGAACTCATTTTCCTACCAGCTTCGTAGATTCTAATCTCATTAGTGGCGACCAGAAATAAAGGACTGTGTCCTATATCTGCTTTACAGTAAACAGTAATGACGGCTTGGAGATCATTCCATTTTTTTAAATAACTTTATCTCATTTTTTAAATTTTTAGTTATTCATTTATTTTTAATACATAATAATTGTACATATTTATGGGGTACAGTGTAATGTCTCAATACATGTATACAATGTGTTATCTCATTTTCTTTAACATGCTGAATTTTAAACCAGACTTATGCCTTAAAAATAACAGTGCTAGTTAATCTAATCACTGTTTCCTTCTCATTCTGGGACTATTTTTAAGCAATCATTAACAATTATGATAGATGCAAATATATCTTAAAATGTTATTCATTTAATTATGATCAGTAACAATTTATGTTTGGAAATACAAATGCCGAACAATCTGATCACCGTTTTTCTTAACATACAAGTATTTTTTTTAATAAAAGGATACCATGGATATGGTAATTAATTTTGAAATTTTACCTACACTCATTCTAAACAGCACATAAGTCTTAAAATAACATTCCTGAATAATCTTTTAACAATTTTTAATATATATGTGGATGTCTGAAGAAGAGAATCTGGTGGTTCCATGTTGACTTTAAATTATTAAAAATACATTGAATCCTACATAACACCTCAAAACTAGAAATGGAAACCCTCCCAAGAAGTGGGAGCGGGAAGCATGTACAAATCTCAAAATACAAGTATCTGTTGCTGGAGGAAGGAAGGTGAATTAATGCAAATCAGTTTAATCAGATTTTTCCTCCTTACAACTAGTTAAGATCAGGAGGATTGAAGAACTGGGAGAAGGAAACAAATAATTGTAGAATCTTGACCATTTTGTGAAATGGCACAGACCTAAGAGAGGTGCCACAGCGAAGGGTCAAAACAGCATGAGGACACTGAGCTGTTTTGACCCTTCAGAAGATGGCCTTAAGGGAAAGATGCAAAAGGGAAGGTTAGAGAGAATAAATAAAAGCACATGATCTCGGGGCCAGCCGAAGGGTCAAAACAGCATGAGGACACTGAGCTGTTTTGACCCTTCAGAAGATGGCCTTAGGGGAAAGATGCAAAAGGGAAGGTTAGAGAGAATAAATAAAAGCACATGATCTCGGGGCCAGCCCGGTGGCGCACTGCTGCAGTGCGCCGCTTGAGAGCGCGGCGGCGCTCCTGCCGAGGGTTCGGATCCCACATACAGACCGGTTCCCACTCACTGGCTGAGTGAGGTGCGGGCGCAGCACCAAGGGTTGCGATCCCGTTGCTGGTCCCGGTCCGGTGCGGGCACGACACTGAGGGTTGCGATCCATTGCCGGACACGAAAAAAGACAAAAAAAGGAGGAAAATAATTCTGTTCCCACAGGAAAATAAGTTTTGACCTTATCGAATTACATGCTTTTGAGGAAAGATTGTCTCTTTGTAACTTTCATCTTTGTAACCTTTCATCTCTGTAACTCCAACACTTAGAACAGTGCTACATGCCCAGGAAGGACTCAATAACAAGTATACTGAATGAATCTGTGAATTTAAATAGTTTACTATCTTTGGGAACATACACAGAGAAAATTTGGAGACTGTCTTTATAGCATTTCTAAAATTGGGGATTGACCCAGTCCTATTTACCGCTTTATTACCATTTCCAAATAGGGAATAAGTAGCTAGGAAACAAAAATAGAATGCCAGAAAATTGCAAAGCAGTCTTTAATAGCAGCAATATGCCTCTTACTTGTTGTATGACCCTGATGGACTGACCATTGATAAGGTAGCGTTAATGGAGCCATTATCTTAGGTTTTAGTGAGTTTGACAAAAACTCACTAAAGTAAAAATCTGCTCTGGGGCGGTATGTGGATTTCTGATCAGTCATATCAGCAGTCTCAAAAATATTTGCTGTTAGGAGAGACTGCGGATATAACATGAAGCTGCTCCTGCAAAAAAACAACTGGAGGCGTATGTGAGCTAAATAATTTCAGATCATAATGGGCCTTTCCTTTAGTTATCTCCTTGTGAATTTTCAAGTCTCTCCTAAAGCCACCCAGGTAAAAGGCAACCCCAGCACCATACTCCCAGGCCCCAGACAGACTGGCCTATGGTTGATCTTAGACATACACAACAACTTACCTGGCCTAATGCCAGAGGGGCTAACCAGAATCCACAACAAGAAGGTAGGCTTTTGCTGTCTCATTCATTGTACCATCCCTAACACCTTGAAGAGTGTCTGGCAATATAGCAGGTAATAAATATGTATTCACTGACTGTTGGGGGCCAGAAGCTCCACACCCCTTCTTGTGAGACGCAACTGACTGCATGACTAAAACTACTTCCCAATTCATTGGCTAATGCTTGAAAATCCACAGGTGGAAATGCATTGTTTAAAATACAAATTTCTGTAGAAGGAATTGTTCTATACAAGTTTCCGTGTGTGTGTGTGTGTGTGTGTGTGTGTGTGTGTGTGTGTGTGTGTGGGATCCCCACTCTAGTAATTCTCCTTCCCTCCCCTCCGAACACCAGCCACCACCCCTACCCCCACCATAGCCATGGCTCTAATATGTTCGAAAGGTATTTCTGAATATGTATGCATCCTTATAAAACATGAAGTCTTGTTTCGTGTGTATAGGTATTTTTAGTTTATAAGATTGGTTTTCTTTTTTGCATCTTCACTCAACATTTCAGTCCTGCAATCTATCCATGTTGCTGAGTGTAGCCCCTGCCTCTAGCGTGGCATTCCTGAGTGTGTACTCACCACATTTTACATATTCATTTCCCCAGTGATGGCACCTAAACTGCCTCCAACTGCCCACTGTACACACATCAAATCACTAAGCAACCCCATTCCAGTCATTTTAATTGTATTTTTGGAGAATGTTTTTGGAATAGTTACCCAAGAGTAGGACTACTGGGTCAGAGGCATAAGCTTATTAACTTTTACTAGATACTGCCAGATTGATCTCCAGAAAGACAGCATTAACCTACTGTCTCATCAGTGAATAAGGCTTTCTCTGTTTCCTTACATTCCCACCCACACTTGGTATTATCCAGCATTAACTCTGTCAGCCTTTGGACGTTTAAAATAGTATCTCATTATTGCTTTAATTTACATTTTTCCTCATATACTTGTAGTCACTTGGGTTTCCCCCTTTATGAGGTGACTACTTACATTAGTTTCCCATTTGTCTAGTGGGCTCCAGTCTTTTTTTGTTGTTGATTTGGAAGAGCTCCATGTATATTTTAGATATTACTCCCTTTTTGGTTGCAGGCTTAACAAACTCTTCCCGTTTTGCTTTCTGTTTATTAGACTTGCCTATTTGGAGTTTGTTGAACATAAAACTCAATTTAGGTGTCATCTAAGATATTGTTTTTTATTATATGGTGTGCACTTTTCAAGGCTTTGTTTAAAAAAGCATTACTACATACTCAGGTCACAAAGATATTCTTTGTTGTCTTCTGTTTATTCTATGATTTTACCTTTCACAGTCAGGTTGTTAATGCATTTTTGTATAGGATGGAAAGTAGGGAATCCAGTTTTAGTGTTTTTCCACATAGTGAACTAGTTTTTCCGACACAGTTCACTAAACAGTGAGTTCTTTATCGTATGTAAATTTTCCATGCATGCAGACAGCTATCTCTGAGCTCTCTATTTTGTTTCATTGGTTTATTTATTTTTCTCTTTTTTCTTCTTGAGCCAGTTTCATAATGTTTTATTACTGAGGAATATCTTTATGTCTGGACAGGAAAATCTATCCTCTTTGCTCTGTTTTTTCAGGGCTGACTTAGCTACTTATGGACCTTTCCTACATATTTCATATAAATTTTGTAATAAATTTGTCAAGTTCCTGGAAAAACGCAGCAGAAAAATTCTATTGGGTTTTCATTTAATTGAAAGATTAATTTGGGGAGAATTAATGTCTTTATAATGTGAACTCATTCCACCCAGAACATTGACTATCTCTCTACTAAAGACCTTCTTTTATACCCTTTGATAGTGTTTCAAAATTTTCTCCACTGAGGTGTTGCATATTGGTTACTTTATAAAAGAAGCAAAATGTTAAGCTGTTATTAGTTGCTTTTACCTTGATGTGAATGAGTGCCACGTTGGTTTGGAGAAAGACTATTGGGATACTCATCTCTTGAGAACATGAAAAGCAAGTGCTTCTTTTCAGGGTCAGTGGAGAAGAGGGCATGGGGTACCAGCAAAGACAGTAGCTAGAGACTGGAGTTTCCAAACATAAACTTCATTTACTTCCCAGTTCTGCTCTAAGCTGACTCTGTACCCGGAATGACTTCCTACCGTGCCCACCTCACCAGCCACACCCTGCCCACAGAAGCACTTGTCACCCATGGCCACTTTTCCCTTCTTCCTGAGGACTAGATCTTATCAATCAGCGCTGTCTCTCATCTTGAAGTGAAGATTCCACCCATGGGAATGTGTTGTAACATAAACGAGTATATCTTCCTCTCTAGTAATACCAAGTATTAAAAT